GCTGTGTGGCCGATTCTTCATCGTGCCTCCGGCGATCCCTCGCAGATATGTCACAGCGTTGAAGGGCCTCGACGACGAGACCATCATCATCACCCAGGCTGGAAAAGGTGGGGGTATCGTTGTTATGGACAAGACTGACTATAAACACAAATTGAACAATTTACTTTCCAATGGTTCTGTTGACAGGAAAGTGACGATAGGCAATGGGACGATGGAAGCTGCCAGATTCAAGAAGAAGGCGAGGGATTTACTCCTGCGGTCGGCTAGAGGGAAAGGATTGCTTCACCTGCTGGAGGAGGTCCCCCGCAACCTGTCCATGAGAGGTCTCCCGAAAGTGCACAAGCCAGGTGTACCGATGAGACCGATCACTTCTGGCATTGGCAGTGCTCCCCATCGCCTGGCGAAGTGTTTGGCGAAACCCCTCTCCGCCGCCATGGGAGTCATCAATGATTCCCATCTCAAGGACTCTGGGGACCTCATCAGACATCTTCAGAGTATTGTATGTAAAAATAAGAAGATATCTAGTTTTGATGTTAAATCCCTCTTTACGAATGTACCCACAGATGGAGCAATCCGGGCAGTCGAGAGGGTAACCGGCTCCATGGCAGATGACGAACTTCTGCTGCCTAAGCACCACTTCATAAGCCTTATGAAGTTGTGTGTGGACTTCGGATTCTTCGAGTTCGCAGGGGAAGAGTACCAACAAATCACAGGTCTTGCCATGGGGTCCCCTCTGAGCGCAGTCCTGGCCTGCCTCTTCATGGAGACATTAGAAAGGGACCGCTACAAGGATAAAATCGGCAGGCACTCAACTTGGCTTCGATACGTAGATGATGTCCTCGTTATCGTCCCCAGAAGGTCGTGTTTACACCGTATGCTGACGTGGCTGAACTCCGTCCACGAAAAAATCCAGTTCACCGTGGAGGAAGTGGATCAGAAGTTACCTTTCCTGGACACTCTGATCCATCGGGGTGACGACGGCCTACGTTTCTCTGTATATAGAAAGCTTACGAATAAAGATGATTATATCCATTATTACTCCGACCACAGCAGTAAAACAAAATCTGGGGTTGTAATTGGCTTCTTTCTCCGGGCACTGAGAATCTGCAGCCCTGAGTTTCTTGAGACTGAGGTTTCATATGTAATTAATTCTTTTATGCAACATAAGTACCCAAAAGGTCTTCTGTTAAACCTCAGAAAGAAGGCGGAGAGCATACTTGCAAGATCAATCCCAGTGACATCCTCTGACTTCCTCATACTGCCTCCATGTAATGTTTCCCAGGCCATTAGCAAATACTTTGGAAAAACAGTGAAAGTCGCCAGCATATCCGGGGAAAAAACTTCATGATATGGTATGAGACAAGAAGTAGTTGAAAAGCAACCCCAACAGTGCAATATATTACATACCCTGCAGCAGTTGCGATAAGGCCTATTTTGGTGAAACAGGACGAGGATTCAACATCAGGATCAACGAGCATCAAGCCGACGTCCGTCACCACAGGACTTTCAATGCCATGGTAGTTCATGAAGATTAAACTGGACATCTACCGAACTGGAAGGAAGACGAAGTAATCCATGAAGGAAGCCACATACCTCGCGACAGAAAAGAATATGAACACTGCATCTAGCAGGTTTAAAGTATCCAGGGTTGCGGCTGCAATTATGCGTGTAACGAGTGCGAGGTCACAGTCGTCAGGTGATCCACCAGCTCCCATGTAGTATATATATGCTATGTATTTTCTCTCATGTATGTAAGCCTCCAGGCTGGTACAGTGGTAACGTGTCGGCCTCTCGCCCGAGGGGTCGGCGGTTCGCGCCCCGCCCAGGCGCGAGAAGTTGCAATTGTCGCTCGGAGGTTACTGCTGTGGCTGGTCACCACGGTGGGTAAGGACTAAGCTCTGTCGCGTCAGCACTAGCTGACACGTTGATCGAGTCGACATTTATCGGCACAGGCCGGGGTCCCCCCATAGCCTGGGCGAGGCTAAGCTTCGCATATCGGACTTATCCTTATCCTTATCTCATGTATGTATTTCTGATGAAGACGAAATTAAAACCGGTCAAATACATCTCTTGTATTGTGAAGATATCCAGTCTCATTCATACCTTTTTTACATTTGTCAACATGGATACGGTTCATATATATATATATATATATATATATATATATATATATATATATATATATATATATATATATATATATATATATATATGTGTATGTATATATATATATATATATATATATATATGTATGTATATGTACGAGGCAGCTTCAAAACGTGTTATAACATGTTCAAACATGAACCTTTAAATGCAGGTAAGAACGCATCACCTTTAGTTGAAAGTCAGACACCATTCAAGTAGCGAAATCGAGACAAGAACAAACATAAAGATCATGATAAAACTTGGTTGGGAGAATAGGCAAATTATTGACGCTCTGAAACAAGTTTATGGTCATAATGCCAAGTCAGCAACCTACAAATGGATAAGTCGCTTCAGA